CCCTGTCACTTGAACGTACATTTCATCAGGTGAATGGTAACATCATATACTGTTAACATGACATCCCAATGCACATGTTCATGATCCACCTAGCGTTGCACCATCATCAACTGCACATCCATCACAATGTTATATACATTAGTTAACCTTTAGAACAGTGTAGAGGCAGAACTGACATAGCACTGTATTACCTAGTTTATAATGACGTAGCGTTTATTTCACTAATGTTAATCACAGTAGAGTAGACAGCTGTAACATACAAGCTTGTCCATCACTGTAAGATATTGACGTGTTGTTGTGACGAGTGTCCATGTTAACCTGTGATATCTGTGACCAGCACCTAATGGGGACACAGTGCCATGTGACCTTGGTTCGGACAGTGGCGGGGTGTTGGTGGCGGAGTACTTCCCAACTGTGGTTGGTGAGTATGTCTTGGAAACAGTCTACTATATTCGACAAATTTGGTGACGCTTCAAAATGATGAAATATGAAAATAAAGAATGTGACAAGATGTCATCTGTCAATCACTCATAATCAACATCCACAGTTATCTTCTATGGTAGATGTTTGAGAAATGCTTAAAATATTCCAATTGACTAGTAACAGATTTGAAAATTATAGCAGGTATTTTTAATCACACGTTTGCCCGGTCCAGATTATTTTAAGGCATCCCTGGTACAGCTGTAATATTACATGTAACAGCTTCTGACTGCAGCATTTACCAGCATTTACTTCCTCACTCACTCAGTGTTCGTGTGTTGTTTTCAGGGGACCACACAATAAGGGTTTTGTGCAATGACACGGAGATAGCAGACAGCCCCTACATCGCCAAAACGTACGACACATCGGCCATTACTGTCACGGAACTGCCTGACGGATATGTGGCGAAACCAATCAACTTCTCAAGTGAGTTTCTACAACCCTTAGAGCTAGAAATATTAACATGATAGACTGTACAACAATATTGCCACATTGAAGTATTTAGTTTTACAGGTCATCTAGCAAAATTCTTTCTCTACATAAAATAATTCAATGACTTTGAGGTGTTTATCCGTTCTGATGAATAATTAAAGAATACTACGTGGAATTACTAAATTCCTAGATCAACTACACCAAGTGGATTTACATAGTCTGCGCACTGGTTTTAGCGTTTATACCACCACAAAAAAATCTGAAGTGGACATATTGACACCCTGTATTCTCTTTATAACATCCACATCTAAAAGGGGGACAATCAAGAGAATAGTTTCTGTTGTGTGGTTTTCTTTTGTTAAGCCAAAATTTCCAAATTGTTTTGGGAAAGAAATAAACTCATATCTTGCTAGATAGCTGACATCTTAGGGACTCAAGAACCCACCCCCCCACCCCCCAAACTTCCTTCATTTAGACTGGGGGATCCAAACTTGGCTCAGGGTTCAGGAGGAGGTGACTTCTTCAGGTAGATTGAGTAGCTCTTGAGGGATATCATATCAGAGTAGAAGATCTAATTTTGATGAAATTGTTTATTCATTATCTCGATAAGTTCATTGAGCTGCACTGATCTGCTGAAGTGTTGTAAGCTCCGTCCTCTCACTGTTGCCAGTTGATGTGAGCCGGGCTGGGGAGGGGCAGCTGCAGATCATGGTGAACAACGGTAACCTGCCCAACGATGTGGAGATGGAGCAGTCGGGCGTGTACAAGATCTCCTTCGTCCCCCAGGAGCCGGGTGTGCAGACTGTCGACATCAGCTTCAATGACGAGGCTCTGCCAGGTGAGTGTGCAGACTGGTGTGCAGACTGTCGACATCAGCTTCAATGACGAGGCTCTGCCAGGTGAGTGTGCAGACTGGTGTGCAGACTGTCGACATCAGCTTCAATGACGAGGCTCTGCCAGGTGAGTGTGCAGACTGGTGTGCAGACTGTCGACATCAGCTTCAATGACGAGGCTCTGCCAGGTGAGTGTGCAGACTGGTGTGCAGACTGTCGACATCAGCTTCAATGACGAGGCTCTGCCAGGTGAGTGTGCAGACTGGTGTGCAGACTGTCGACATCAGCTTCAATGACGAGGCTCTGCCAGGTGAGTGTGCAGACTGTCGACATCAGCTTCAATGACGAGGCTCTGCCAGGTGAGTGTGCAGACTGGTGTGCAGACTGTCGACATCAGCTTCAATGACGAGGCTCTGCCAGGTGAGTGTGCAGACTGGTGTGCAGACTGTCGACATCAGCTTCAATGACGAGGCTCTGCCAGGTGAGTGTGCAGACTGGTGTGCAGACTGTCGACATCAGCTTCAATGACGAGGCTCTGCCAGGTGAGTGTGCAGACTGGTGTGCAGACTGTCGACATCAGCTTCAATGACGAGGCTCTGCCAGGTGAGTGGTGATCCCAGCCTCTACATTGGCTGGACACACTGACCCTGGAGGCTAGAAGTATCATGGTTCCAGGGTGAGTGGTGATCCCAGCCTCTACATTGGCTGGACACACTGTGACCCTGGAGGCTAGAAATATCATGGTTCCAGGGTCTCATTCTACAGAACACTTTTTGCGCTACGACTATCGTAAGTCTATGTTGAAGTATGGTAGTTATGACAGTCCTAGGGCTAGAATTTCTCAGTAGACTGAAGTAGTGGGTGAGTGAGAGTGAGTTTGGTTTTACGCCGCTTTTAGCAATATCACGGCGGGGGACACCAGAAATGGGCTTCACACATTGTTCCCATGTTGGGATTCGAACCCGGGTCTTCGGCGTGAAGAGCGAACGCTTTAACCACTAGGCTACCCAACCTCCCCTGGACTGAAGTAAAATATGTAGACATTTTATTCTGCATTAAAGCAAATTAATGACATCTAGCATAATATTTTGCAGTCAATAAATTTGGTTACATTTTCATTTAAGTCAGTTGTGTGTTATTAATACAATCAAATTGTGGATAGGGTTCTGTTTTCTGTGTATCATTACTGGGTTATATTTTCCAGACAAAGGTTTGGTAATTGAAACACAAATTGAAAAAGAATTTGAGAAATTTCAAAGTAAAATTGTAAAAAACATGGTTTTGGCCAGAATTGAGTGAGACATGAAATAATATGGAAAAACATGCTGATATGAGTGTTTCTGTGAATGACATGTGAAAGAGTTACTTCCCTTACCTACTTTCTACTTTCACATTTCACTCAGATTCAGTGGAAACTGTAAATGACTGTTCATAACTTTTAATTTTATTATAAAATTCCGAGTCAAGAAATTTGTAAACCAAGTTAAAAATTACAACAAATCCTTCTAGTGAATGTCTTAAGCAAATATTGAGAAGGTAAAACGTTCCAGTGAAAGTACTAGCAATTATTGAGAAAGTAAAACCTTGCAGTGAATGTCCCTGCAATTATTTAGAATGTAAAACCTTGCAGTGAATGTCCCGGTAATTATTAAGAAGGTAAATCTTCTCCTGAATGTCCCAGCAATTATTAAGAAGGTAATCTTCTTGTGAATGTCCCGGCAATTATTAAGAAGGTAAATCTGCTCGTGAATGTCCCGGCAATTATTAAGAAGGTAAATCTTCTTGTGAATGTCCCGGCAACTATTAACAAGGTAAATCTTTTCATGAGTGTCCCAGCAATTATTAACAAGGTAAATCTTCTCGTGAATGTCCCAGCAATTATTAACAAGGTAAATCTTCTCGTGAATGTCCCGGCAATTATTAAGAAGGTAATCTTCTCATGAATGTCCCGGGAATTATTAACAAGGTAAATCTTCTCGTGAATGTCCTGGCAATTATTGAGCAGCAACTGATGATGTTCACAGTGTCGCCCCTGACTTGCACTGCTGTGGACCTGAGCGCCTCCATCATGGAGCTCCAGACTCTGCAGCCTGTGGAAACACAGTCCACCTTCCTCATCAAGTCTGCCGCCAGTGATGCCTCAGTCGCCGTGGAGCTCATGGGTAAAATATATAAGGTCATAGGTCAGGTATTGTCAAGCCCAATTTTCATCAGCAGAAAAGATATGTTGTGTCTCTCTGATGAAATTGACACCGTCTTGCATCACATTTCAATTTCTTTGATAATATCATTGTTATACAACAGTTTCAATACGTTATTGATGTTAGAAGGTATTTTTTGTCATTTGAAGTACATCTTATGATGATACTTTTAGTAATTAATATTTTTTACTTGTATAGAGGGATAAAATAAAGTATATGCAATTGAATATGTTTGTTGTTGATTGTCATTGATCATCATATCACATACATGACACTATTATGTACATTTCCTTGCTTGTGTTGCACATGACATACCAACATGTATATTTTGTTTCTTTTTCTTGTAGTACCTTGACAGAGACAGAAACTCCATGTTATTTTATTATTAGTGTCTTTCAAGGAAAAATTGCGTCAATGTCACAGTCATGTCACACACAAATATGTACAAGACATTATTAATTATTAACACTGTCAACTTCTAACTGAGACTACTTCAGTACTAAAGTCACCGTTGTGTCCACCTTAACTCCATAATGTGTCAGTGGTTGGGTGTACATTTCAACCTGTCTGTTGTCAGTTTCATGTACATTTCATGAACATTTCTTGCTGTTTTTGTGTTGTCTTGCTTACGTTGTTTTTGTCTGCATTTCAGGGTTAATCTGAAACCTTTGACAATGTCTGATATATCATTTGTTTTATTTTGTCAGCTTTTATTAAGTCAGCTTTTGTACGAGTTTTAGTTTATGATTTGTTTACGTAGGGTTGTCAGTTTCGCTGGTAGACATGTCCATTGCATGTTGCATGCCCCAGGTTGCGGTCGGCTATTTGACAACATATAGACATATAACCAAGATTGTCCTGACCTCTGGAACAAGGTACTTCCTTCTTATTTCTTCCTTTCCAGGTTCTCTATATCCTTGCTATGTTTCTGTTCTAATTCTGATTCAATAAAAATAAATTGATTTATTCATATAAAGCAACAATTCTAATTTGTAATAAAAGAGTAATTAACAAAATGTTTTGATACATTAAAATAAATATTTCAACATTTTAGCGCCATCTGGACAGCAAGTTCCTGCAAGAATATCAGGCAATGGCACCAATGGCTACACTGTTGAATACACCCCTCGAGAGATTGGTACGTGTTGCACTGTGAATATACCAGTAGTAGGATGTTCTGCTTGAATATCTGCAGGCGTGACTTTGATTGTGATTTAGATTCATTAATGAGGTTAAATATTATGATTTAAAGAAAAATTTAAAGATCTCTTTTTTTGTAATAGTTTCTTTGTTTTTGAACCAGAACATTTTGGTCTCTGCGGAGTTGTCTCCACAGAACTTCTGCTCATGAACCTATCATGTTTGTTTCACAGAAATGATACTGATGAAAGTGTCCCTATCTCTTTATGCATGTAATTGTGCATTAAGATTTACAATCTGTTATCATGATATTGCTTGAGACATACCAATAATTCATCTTTTCTGTTGTTTTAGACAGATCAGTTTGTTTGTTGTCAGGATTTTAAGAGCATTGTAATTTGATTTGCTGAAACATTTTTTGAAATTGAAAGTTTAACAAATATACAAACAAAAAGATGCATGTTTACAATAAATCCTCAGTTTAATTTTTTTTTTTTTTTTACTACTTCCAAAATTATTGTAGAAGTGTCTGCAAAATAAAAATAAAAATTTACATTATGCTTTTTGATTCTGTGAATTTGTGACCATTTTACCTCTGACATATATATTTTGTCAAATGTTCATTTCAGGTACATATCTGGTATCGACAAGCCTGTCAGGTATACAGATCAAGGGTAGCCCATTCCGCGTGAAGACCTACGACCCAAGCCTGGTCAAGGTCTCAAAGATTCCACAAGGGGTAGTGGGTACACCCACCAAATTTATTGGTAGGAACTTTTTAATTGTCTTTCTTTTTAAGGGGGCCACGGTGGCCACAGCCTCTAAGGCGCCGTTATTCGCTGTACAGAGTTGCGTCCCTTGGGCACGCCAAAAACCTACGATTTCGGGTTCGAATCCCGGTTCGCCCCGATTATGTTTCTAGGTTGTCAGCACCATACCCGTGCTCGTGGGTTTCACCGAAGTAGTAAACGTCTGAGACCTGCATCACTTCAGGCTTTCCTCCCACATTAAGCTGACATGACGCGATATAACTGTAATACTGTTAAAAACGGTGTTAAACCCAACTCACTCACACTCTTTCATTTTAAGAATTATTATCATGTCTATTTCAGTTGATGCATCGGCGGCGGGTGAGGGCACGCTAGAGATTGCTGTGTCGGCCAGCGGTCGCAACATCCCCAACCAGGCTCGGGCTCTGGGTGGGGGCAGGTTCGAAGTGTCCTTTGTGGGCAGGGAGGCCACCAGACATAAGGCCGTCCTTACATACAACGGAGAACACATCCCAGGTAGTTGCCCTAAACATGACTCCATTATATTCATTTCAACATACATCAACCCTATATATTTATTACTATTTATATTTGTTTCATTACATTATCTTTTTTCCATTAATGCACAAAATATTATTTTTCCATTAATTTTCAACTAATTTTAGACAATTATTTATTTAAATTATCATGGAAACATTATTCAATATCAATAAAATATTATTCAATCTATTGTTGGAACTATTCGTTTGAATGGTTTTAAGGTCTAGTAATTGAGAGTGTTAAATGTTTGATAATAATTATTGTACAATTGTATGCTAGATTTTCTTTTTTGAAGTTTGAAGTAAGATTTAACATTTTTGTGGTCAGCATACGTACAGGTATTTTCCCCAGACCTGTGTTTGTAAACTTTTATTGATTGTTTTGTGTGAATGTCTCTTTTAGGTAGCCCATTCTGGGTGGACTTCATGGATGCCAGTCACATTACTGCCACAGGGGAAGGACTGAGTCTTGTGCCTTGTCATCGGCAGACACATTTCACTGTCAACGCCCCTGGTGCAGCCCTGCCAGACCTCAATATCAGACTGACAGGTACTCAGGCCTGGTGTATATATCGCGTATATTTCATGTACATAGCATGTATACTGGGAAACATGTACTCCTACCTGGTGTATAAAAGTCGTATATTTCATGTACATAGCATATAACAGACTGACAGGTACTCCGGCCTGGTGTATATTACGCATTAATATTTCATGTACATAGCATGTATATTGGGTAACTTATCCTTTCTGGTGTATATTGGTCGTATATTTCATGTACAAGCATGTATATTGGGTAACAGGGATTCCTGCCTGATGAATATAGCTGACTGACAGGTACTCCGACCTGGTGTATATATCGCGTATATTTCATATACATAACATGTGTATTGGAAAACACAGTAGTCCAGCCTGCTGTATGTAGGTTGTATATTGCATGTATACAGGGTAACACATGTTCCACTGGGGATAAAATCAACTAGATATCAACATTGGGAAACTGTTGATAGATTGCATAGTCAGCTGATTATTTTGAGTAAGTATAGATATCCAAATAGGTTTCAAGTGACAAATTTTAAATTGATATATGTAAAATAAATTTGATTTTCACTTTGTGAAGTTTGTTTTCTTTTAAAACTTTTTTTATAATAAATCAGGCAGACATTGTAATAAATGGTTTTGCTGTCCAGTTGTTTTCATCATGCATGTTTTTGTACTCCCACTTTAAGTTGACAACAATTACTTCTTTATCATTTTGCTTTCTTTTGTTGTATTTCAATATTGTTTTTTCTTGTATCTAACTTCTTGCAGTATTCCAGTTTTGTTTTATGTTGTATCGAAAGTTTCTCAGTATTTACATTTTGTGTTATTTTGTATCTACATTCTTGCAGTATTTACATTTTGTTTTGTGTACTTGAAGGCATGTGATGTCAGGATCAAAGTTTAACTGGTTTTGTAGCCATTGTCATATGAATTTATTAAGTCCATGACAGAGAGGAACCTATTGCTTAAAGACAAAAACATAACTATGGAATGATAATATCTGGGAATAAATAACTTGCTTAATCAAAATTAAGATACATGTACTTTGACAAACTTTAATAATCATCAGTCTCTTTCAAGGGGCTGGTTTACCACTACAAACAATGCAAAGCTAAGAACATTTAATTCAAAGACAGATTTAATTCGGCAATTGTTGCAGAACTTCACTGAGTCAAAGTAAGCTACTTGGGATAATTATGTAATTATGGTTTTCTAAAGTCCTGTTTTTATTTAGAAATATTAATTCAATTTATTTTACCAAGGCAACTATAGACTTACACTCAGTCTAGTCTATGATAACATTTCTTGAAAACATTTTCTTTATTCAAAAGAACCTTTACTCTTCTGCTGTTTTCATGGAATGAAAGAAACTAGACTTGGTTTAGTTTGACCTAGGCTTGTAGTAATCTCTCTCTCTCTCTCTCTCTCTCTCTCTCTCTCTCTCTCTCTCTCTCTCTCTCTCTCTCTCTCTCTCTCTCTCTCTCTCTCTCTCTCTCTCTCAGTAATGGCAGTAAAGTTTCTATGTATTTTTTCTCCACTAGACTGTAATCTGGATCCATAATCCAGTTAAAGAGCATCTCGGCATTACAACTGTTCCAATGGCTACAAACACCAGTTAGATGTTGACCCCTCTGTTTGTATCCTGTTGGACAAGTGGCTGTACTGTGCATGTAAACCTCCCCAATATGTTATGGGAAGTTACTAGTGACGTAACAGAAGCTGTTACCTACCAATGTACGGAGAGCTGCATGTTAGCTTGTAGACTACTGCATGTATGTTGTAACAAGATGCAGATGTACAGGCAGTAGACATGGGATGGGCAGCTGTTATAATTTGCTCAAGCCTTGCTGTGGTGGAGGAATGAATGCTAGCAGTGTCGGGGGAGCTGGGTAAGTCTTGTGGTGCTGTTGAAAATGAAAACCTGTGTATACTTGACTCTTGTCGCAGAAAAAACTAAGAAATCTGAATTAACAGAAGGTGTATACCAAATCAACCTGTTACAGCAAGCAATGGAATTATATGTCATTATAAACTACTACGAGTAAAAACATCTATTTGTGAATTGTGATGCTTTAACAAATTTGCAACGAAGAAAGATTTATTCTTACAGGTTAGGAAGTTCTAGGGTAGAGAGATTTTGTAAGAAATGAAAATAGAAAATATGAAAGTATTTTTAGTAGAATTCGTTGATCCTTTGGAAGCAATATTTGCTGAAAATATTTTGCCAAGGTAATTGTTAATAAATAATACAAGCATCTGAGGCAGCAATCATGAGGAAATAGATACCAACTTTGCTGTAACAGAGGGTTTTGACTCAAAACTTTTTAGAACCTTGAGAGATCTTTGATGAAATTTTCAAATTTAATTTTGAAAGTTTGTTTATTTAAGTATTTGACGTTACCCATAATTCCTGTGCCTGGCAGGTCCAGATGGGCGGGAGGTCCCGACCCGGATCCGGGACGTCAAGGGAGATCAGCACTACAGAGTGGAGTGGACGCCCACTAGCATAGGTAATATTGAGTCTCACTGACACTCAAGAATGGAATAATCCTGTTAGATTCACAGATTTATTTCCTATATTTTCTTTATTTTAACATAAAGCTAGTGCATATGTCCCCAGTGAACACAATTTTGAATACCGTATTCGACGTAATAAGCGCCCCGCTCTAATAAGCACCCATGGCGATATTTGCTAATTTATTGGCTAGTGAACAATCCCAATCAGCACCCCTTCCGATTGATCAATGTACACAAGACTTATTTATTCGTGTATAATACGCACTCGTGTGTTATATGCACCCTTTATTATGGGCAATAGAATTCTGGAAAAATATATCTGTCGTATGTAAACATTTCAGGCTGTCAGCATAAACCACAAAATTTACGATCTTTGAACACTGTTTTTTTCCACCAAAATAATATTCTAATAAGAGCCCCCTATTTCTAATTTTGAGAGCGCCCTGGGCGCTTATTACGTCGAATACGGTAATTTGTTTCTGTTTCATCTCCTTTGTGACTGCTAGACACATTTATTAAGTCAAGTCATTTGTATTTATTGAACAGTGACTAGTAGTGTTATTTTCACTGTTGGTCACCTGTGTACAGTGACTCTGTCAGGATGAACAGTGACTGGCAGTCCTCATTGTATGATGAAAACATTGAAGAGAAACAACTTCAGTTGAAGGACCTCATCACTTCTAATCTGTGACTTTGGCTCACAGCCTGGTATTTAAGTGTGCCAATTACAACCATGTTTATGGGACAGCAGTAAACACTGGGGATTTCTAGCCCTGCAACCTTGCATTGATTTAAATGTGAACAGATAAGAAGATGAAGATCAACCCTCAATTTCAGGAGACTATAAGGCTGTAATTGAGTACGCCGACATGCCAATCAAAGGGAGTCCCTTCACTGTGAAGGCCTTTGATGCTGCCAATGTGAAAATCTCCAAGATTAATCAAGGATTCCTGGGAAGACCCAACTCTTTTACATGTAAGTAGTCTTTGATTTTTCTCACACTTATAATAATTTCAGTACGTTAGAAAGCCTTTGATGATAGTTTCGTATGAGGGGATAATTTATAGAAACATGACTTTCTGATCAGCAGTGTCGGGGATGCTGGAAACAAGTGGTCCGTCTAAGATTTACTGGCAAACTGGGCCGAATGAGTAAAGTGGCTGTTCTTCCAGTCCTGTTTGTTTATGTTCTGTTAAATGCCAGATGATTATGTGGTGGCTTATCAATCAAGAATGGTTTGTCCCAGCTGATATGACATCAGTTTGACGAAAAGGGGTGAGGTGGGTGTTCCATGAAAAAATGACACCGAAGGGGGACATGAAAAAAATGATTTTTTGTTGTTGAAAATTTTCTTTTTCTTTTATAAAATTGAACATTATTGAGATACTGGTTGTTAATTATTAGGAGGGGTTCATGAAAAAATGTTACATAAAATTGAGGAGGGGTCATCATTTAATCCCCTCTGTATGAAAGACTGATGTGGTGACTGGCTGTGGTGTTGCAGTGGATGCTAGCGAGGCTGGGGATGGGAACCTGGAGATACAGGTAACAGCTGATGGGGAGAGCGTCCCCAACTACGTCCGCCAGGAGTCCGACACCAACTTCCGTGTCAGCTTCACCCCGCAGCGCCCCTCGAAGCACCACATCAGCGTCCGCTTCAACGGAGAACCTGTGCCAGGTAGGAAGCAATAAGCTGAATGTCCGTGGTGGGAAGAACATTTGATTGATGGTTTACAATTAACACAGTCCATGCAATATATTAGCGATAGGATATAGTTCTTTTGATTTGGAATTCAATGTAACCAATGTCAATCTCTTAAACATCTTTGTGGGTGTTGGGTAGCCTTAAGTGTTTGTTAGGCCTGTTGTCTGGGTTTGAATCTCCACATAGGTGCAATGTGTGAATCTAAGCTCTTTCTTGGTGTCCATTGCCATAATATTCATCTGCCTAATAGTGCTTTTACCCTTAACCTTCTTATTTTAAGTAATTTTTATTACTTGGATCACAGATTTATGATGCAGTGAAAAATATTTGCCACCATAGCACCTGATTTACTGTTACATTTTATTTGATTACAAAAAATGAGCAAACACTAATAGGCTCTTAAGTTAAAAAAACAAATTTATCAATCTGGCCATGGAAAATCATCATTCAATACAATTTTGAATAAAATTTAGAAATGCCTAAACGTATGATCAGTAATGAGGCTTTGTCATGTCCTTGCCACTGTGTAGGCACTACTGATCGTATGTGGAATCGATGTGAGCCTTTACATTGTGCCTTGTTGAATACTCACACCCTTGCCACTGTGTAGGCACTACTGATCGTATGTGGAATCGATGTGAGCCTTTTTTACATTGTGCCTTGTTGAATACTCACACCCTTGACACTGTGTAGGCACTACTGATCGTATGTGGAATCGATGTGAGCCTTTACATTGTGCCTTGTTGAATACTCACAACCTTGCCACTGTGTAGGCACTACTGATCGTATGTGAATCGATGTGCCTTTACATTGTGCCTTGTTGAATACTCACACCCTTGCCACTGTGTAGGCACTACTGATCGTATGTGGAATCGATGTGAGCCTTTACATTGTGCCTTGTTGAATACTCACACCCTGGCCACTGTGTAGGCACTACTGATCGTATGTGGAATCGATGTGAGCCTTTACATTGTGCCTTGTTGAATACTCACACCCTTGCCACTGTGTAGGCACTACTGATCGTATGTGGAATCGATGTGAGCCTTTACATTGTGCCTTGTTGAATACTCACACCCTTGCCACTGTGTAGGCACTACTGATCGTATGTGGAATCGATGTGAGCCTTTACATTGTGCCTTGTTGAATACTCACACCCTTGCCACTGTGTAGGCACTACTGATCGTATGTGGAATCGATGTGAGCCTTTACATTGTGCCTTGTTGAATACTCACACCCTTGCCACTGTGTAGGCACTACTGATCGTATGTGGAATCGATGTGAGCCTTTACATTGTGCCTTGTTGAATACTCACACCCTTGCCACTGTGTAGGCACTACTGATCGTATGTGGAATCGATGTGAGCCTTTACATTGTGCCTTGTTGAATACTCACACCCTTGCCACTGTGTAGGCACTACTGATCGTATGTGGAATCGATGTGAGCCTTTACATTGTGCCTTGTTGAATACTCACACCCTTGCCACTGTGTAGGCACTACTGATCGTATGTGGAATCGATGTGAGCCTTTACATTGTGCCTTGTTGAATACTCACACCCTTGCCACTGTGTAGGCACTACTGATCGTATGTGGAATCGATGTGAGCCTTTACATTGTGCCTTGTTGAATACTCACACCCTTGCCACTGTGTAGGCACTACTGATCGTATGTGGAATCGATGTGAGCCTTTACATTGTGCCTTGTTGAATACTCACACCCTTGCCACTGTGTAGGCACTACTGATCGTATGTGGAATCGATGTGAGCCTTTACATTGTGCCTTGTTGAATACTCACACCCTTGCCACTGTGTAGGCACTACTGATCGTATGTGGAATCGATGTGAGCCTTTACATTGTGCCTTGTTGAATACTCACACCCTTGCCACTGTGTAGGCACTACTGATAGTATGTGGAATCGATGTGAGCCTTTACATTGTGCCTTGTTGAATACTCACACCCTTGCCACTGTGTAGGCACTACTGATTGTATGTGGAATCGATGTGAGCCTTTACATTGTGCCTTGTTGAATACTCACACCCTTGCCACTGTGTAGGCACTACTGATCGTATGTGGAATCGATGTGAGCCTTTACATTGTGCCTTGTTGAATACTCACAGCCTTGCCACTGTGTAGGCACTACTGATCGTATGTGGAATCGATGTGAGCCTTTACATTGTGCCTTGTTGAATACTCGCATCCTTGCCACTGTGTAGGCACTACTGATCGTATGTGGAATCGATGTGAGCCTTTACATTGTGCCTTGTTGAATACTCACACCCTTGCCACTGTGTAGGCACTACTGATTGTATGTGGAATCGATGTGAGCCTTTACATTGTTGAATACTCACAGCCTTGCCACTGTGTAGGCACTACTGATCGTACGTGGAATCAATGAGCCTTTACATTGTGCCTTGTTGAATACTCACACCCTTGCCACTGTGTAGGCACTACTGATCGTACGTGGAATCAATGAGCCTTTACATTGTGCCTTGTTGAATACTCACACCCTTGCCACTGTGTAGGCACTACTGATCGTACGTGGAATCAATGAGCCTTTACATTGTGCCTTGTTGAATACTCACACCCTTGCCACTGTGTAGGCACTACTGATCGTATGTGGAATCGATGTGAGCCTTTACATTGTGCCTTGTTGAATACTCACACCCTTGCCACTGTGTAGGCACTACTGATCGTATGTGGAATCGATGTGAGCCTTTACATTGTTGAATACTCACACCTTGCCACTGTGTAGGCACTACTGATCGTACGTGGAATCAATGAGCCTTTACATTGTGCCTTGTTGAATACTCACACCCTTGCCACTGTGTAGGCACTACTGATCGTACGTGGAATCAATGAGCCTTTACATTGTGCCTTGTTGAATACTCACACCCTTGCCACTGTGTAGGCACTACTGATCGTACGTGGAATCAATGAGCCTTTACATTGTGCCTTGTTGAATACTCACACCCTTGCCACTGTGTAGGCACTACTGATCGTATGTGGAATCGATGTGAGCCTTTACATTGTGCCTTGTTGAATACTCACACCCTTGCCACTGTGTAGGCACTACTGATCGTATGTGGAATCGATGTGAGCCTTTACATTGTGCCTTGTTGAATACTCACACCCTTGCCACTGTGTAGGCACTACTGATCGTATGTGGAATCGATGTGAGCCTTTACATTGTGCCTTGTTGAATACTCACACCCTTGCCACTGTGTAGGCACTACTGATCGTATGTGGAATCGATGTGAGCCTTTACATTGTGCCTTGTTGAATACTCACACCCTGGCCACTGTGTAGGCACTACTGATCGTATGTGGAATCGATGTGAGCCTTTACATTGTGCCTTGTTGAATACTCACACCCTTGCCACTGTGTAGGCACTACTGATCGTATGTGGAATCGATGTGAGCCTTTACATTGTGCCTTGTTGAATACTCACACCCTTGCCACTGTGTAGGCACTACTGATCGTATGTGGAATCGATGTGAGCCTTTACATTGTGCCTTGTTGAATACTCACACCCTTGCCACTGTGTAGGCACTACTGATCGTATGTGGAATCGATGTGAGCCTTTACATTGTGCCTTGTTGAATACTCACACCCTTGCCACTGTGTAGGCACTACTGATCGTACGTGGAATCAATGAGCCTTTACATTGTGCCTTGTTGAATACTCACACCCTTGCCACTGTGTAGGCACTACTGATCGTATGTGGAATCGATGTGAGCCTTTACATTGTGCCTTGTTGAATACTCACACCCTTGCCACTGTGTAGGCACTACTGATCGTATGTGGAATCGATGTGAGCCTTTACATTGTGCCTTGTTGAATACTCACACCCTTGCCACTGTGTAGGCACTACTGATCGTATGTGGAATCGATGTGAGCCTTTACATTGTGCCTTGTTGAATACTCACACCCTTGCCACTGTGTAGGCACTACTGATCGTATGTGGAATCGATGTGAGCCTTTACATTGTGCCTTGTTGAATACTCACACCCTTGCTCCCATGCAGGCAGCCCCTTCAACTGCAGTGTGCTGGACAGTGACCGGATCCATGTGTCCGGGGAGGGCATCAAGATGGTGCCGGCCAATGTCCTCACCACCTTCAAGGTCGACCCGAAGGGCGAGGGGGATGGGGACCTCAGTGTCAGGGTCTACTGTAAGTACACAGCACATGTACATCAGACACATGATAAGGCTCAACAACAAACAGTTTTGCATTCAGAATTTGTGAAGTTAGGTGACTGTTATTGGAAAGCATCAGACTTTTAACAAAACTATAAAGAAGTCATGCAAGTTGTCTGTGAGATCCAGTGTTATTTGTTGAAACATCAGACTTTCATGTTTGCATGTGTGGTGTGGTAGGATACATAACAATAATAATAATAATAGGCTATTAATATTGCGCATATTTCCACACCACTGAGGGGCATGCTCAAAGCACTATTGTTACCACGGTCACTGGATCAATGTGCACTCAAGAATCATTCTCAGCTCCCTGGAGAGTATACAACCCAAGCTGCCTATTTGGCGCTTGAAGGTTAACAACCACATTGCCATCTTATCCTACCGGGTACCCACTCACTGCTGGGTGAACAGAGGCACATTAGGAACAAAGTCATTTTCCCAAGGAGACACCACACATGTTATATGTGCTTCATTGTGGGGCGTGAGCAAAGCCCTAGAAACTCTCAGGAGCAAAGCTCCCAAACCCGGTCACCCATCCAAGGACTCTCCGCTTAACTTCAGCTGATTTGTGACACGTGCACAGCTTAAGTGCGACCACATGAAACTGATAAACAAAACAACATTTGTATGTGGACTAAGGATTGCAATTGACTGTTAAAACTGTTTCTTTCTGCAGCATTACCCGAAAAAGCAACTTCAACGTTTACAATTTACGGTTGTGTTTCCAGCTCCGAGTGGACATGAGGTTCCCGTGCGAGTGTCCGGCAACGCCCGGTCGGCGTTCAGGGCAGACTACACACCACACGACATCGGTACGTTTATCATGCAGGCATCATGGCCAATACTGACTCAATTGGCAGCTTAGTATTGAAGTGATGATACATGTGCCCTCTGGTGGTGTTGTGACAGCATGAGTGTGTTGTGTTCCAGGCCCGTACAAGGTACATGTGGAGTACAGCGGGGTGGAGATCAAGGGCAGCCCCTTCACCTGTAACGTGTACGACCCCTCCCTCATCAGGGTGACCAGCCCCGGACGTGGCTACCTCGGCAGACCCATCCACTTCCAGAGTAAGTCTACCACAAGGCTCAAGGCTTTCCCCAACACTAAATGTTGGATCCTGTGCTCATAGATTTTAAGAATGGCTATAAATGGTGTCCACTGGGAGTCCCTTTGGAGGGACAAGAGTATGCATGGTGGAGTGGTTGGAACTAATGAAGCATGTGCATGAGATTTTATAATTAGATGTGATATTTCTGTTTTGATAAGTATTACAATCTTTATATGGACGGTCAATGTCATAAGTTTTCACTGTCTGTTTGAATCACTGACCGCCTCAGTGGTCTTGTCGAAGAGCGTCCACCCGGAGAACGAAAGTCTGGGGTTCAGTCCCCGGCTCTGTGATACCAACAGACATGAAAAGATGGTACTTGTTGTTACCCTGCCTTGAGCTTGGCATTAATGGACAAAAGCAAGGACTGGGCGGAGCGGAGTCAGTATACTGTGTCTGAATGGGGGTATTCATGTCAAACTGCGACATGTTATCTCAGTGGGCTAACACTATGAAATCAGCATTAGTCCGGACCAGTACAAACATCCACACACTTAAACACACACACACACGTGCATGCACTTCGCTATATAAGTGAAATAAACTTGAATGTGACTTTGAACTCCATTTCAACTCACCTTGTTTTCAACAATGGGCACCTGTCACCCTAGCTAGTCCCTATCCACAATATCCATGTTGGGAGACTACCATACTTTGAAGTATAGTTGGGACCTCGATGTTATTGCCTTGGACCCCGAAATACACACATCAGAGTGAATGTCAGTCCATTATTAATTATATATCTTTTCCTGTTTTATCTAACGGAATATTGCTGTCATTGGATGGCTTTGTAGATAAGTGCTGAAAAACTCAAAACATGATAAAGACAAAAAATATCCTTTCGCAAAAAAATGATTTTCATTTCAGGATAAAATTGAATGAATTCAACTGTTTTTGGCCACTCCAACAATTTTTCACATCTTGAAAACTTAACCGAGGTAGAATTTTGCCATTCATACAGGGTTTTGCTGTATGTTATCAATATAAGGACTAGGAGACTAAAAATGTTAGTTTCTCACCGCTGCTGTTGTATAAAAGTAATAATTTCATAATTATCACAATATCAGGTTTGATTGCATCAATCAATCTTAAGACTTAAAGGATTTACTCAAATTAAAAAAATTGTTGTTTTAGAAACTGTTTATGATTGTTTGTAGTTGACACATCAGCTGCTGGAACTGGTGACCTTGAAGCAGAGGTCAAATGTCGTGGGAGCAACGTAGCCAGTCATATCCGAGAGATTGGGCGGAACCGCTATGAGTTGAGCTTCACTCCGCGGGACCTGTCCACCCACATAGTGACCATCCTGTTTAACCGCTTCCCCCTCCCAGGTGAGACCTCCACAGTCAGAGAAGATAACCAGCCTGGGAGACAACTCTCACCACAGTCAGGAAGATAAATCACATCTAAGTTAGGGGAGATAACTCACATCTCAGTAAGGGGAGATAACTCACACCAGCTTGGGAGACAACTCTCACCACAGTCAGGAAGATAAATCACATCTAAGTTAGGGGAGATAACTCCCATCTCAGTAAGGGTAGATAACTCACACCAGCCTGGGAGACAACTCTCACCACAGTCAGGAAGATAAATCACATCTAAGTTAGGGGAGATAACTCACATCTCAGTAAGGGGAGATAACTCGGACCAGCCCGGAGACAACTCTCACCATTCAGGAAGATAAATCACATCTAAGTTAGGGGAGATAACTCACATCTCAGTAAGGGGAGATAACTCACACCACAGGAAAGGGAGATAACTCAAACCATGGTCACATGGGATAACTCATTCCATTGTATCAACCATTCATCACCACTCGCGCCTTTCCGTAACCTGTCGATAAATGTGATGTGCGAAAATATGACAAACCGATGAGAATGAGTGTATGATTTCAAGTTCTTCATCAAAGAATCCTTCAGAAATAAATATTTTTTAGTGTTGGAATACAAATTGTTTTCACAGACCGATACATCTTCCGGGTAAGGAATTTGTCCATAATCGCAAGGAACAAGGGATCAATTAAATCATAACCTCCAATTTGAAGATGTGATGCTATTTAAGCAGATCAACTCCTTTAGAGTTTGTGGATACAGAGTAATCATGAGTTTCAATGTATATATACATGCTGATATATTTAAGAAATAAATCCTGATTGGGAGTTGTTTATCGTACAATAAAACACTGCAGGGAGAATAAACCATGAGGGGTGCATGGTTTATACTCCCTGCAGTGTTTTATTTCTTATATGAGTTATGAACATTATGTACAACCTCTTAAAGGATGATGATGAAATATACAAGCTCTCAATATGTTTACCTGTATGTTAATCATGATGACTCCCTCAATAGAATCTGACGTCGCACAAAGGGGTATTTCCTGCATATTCTCACAATCCTCGCGTCAATTACCTGTACCTTTTCTCCCAATAACGATTGTCATGTCTCTCCTACTTTTGGATGCGATTGTGTTCAGCCATCACGTTCATCACGTTGCCCAGCTGCATCTATGAGGAAGAACTCACCTGACGCTCCCCTCACCTAACATTGTCCAATATACAACGTCATCAAGTTGCAAGCTCATGTTATATTTACACAGTAGGACTAATGTACAAAGTCTTGCCACATGTGAATTGTACAGTCATCAAAAATTGAATGACCGTGAAATGAATATGATGCATACAAGATCAGATTTTATGCATTGATGATAAAACATATCAGATGTATGACAGTATCAAGTCAGTTTGGATAAGTTGGTTTTTTTTCATCCACAGGGTCCCCCTATCACGTTGACATCATCGACAGCAACAGCGTTACCATGAGCGGTGAGGGACTACACACAGCCCAGGTGTACAAGGAGACGTGGTTTAACCTTGACCTTCATGGCATGGATGAGAATGACCTTGAAGTTCATATCACCAGTGAGTAGAACAAAGAGGAATAATCTTTGCTCTGTTACTGTCTTTATAACTAAAGCTTTGAGATAATATCAGTTATTGTTAACCTATTTTTGGTCACTTAAATAGGCACAACGAAATGACTTTTCTTTATACGTGCATTATGTAGCAGGATGTTGAGTCATTCCACAGATGACATCCTTACCTTGTCAGCTTGCTGACGGGGTTAACCTCTTTGGTCATGTGGACAAGGCGTCCGACCTCTGATCAGAAGGTCTTTGGTTCAATCTCATTAAAATCAGATCTTAGTTTTCCTACCCCTAAACAAAGATCTGAGGACATTGAGGTTATCACGCGAGTGTGTTTGGGGATGGTAAATATCCTGCATTAGGAATAAACATTGTATTTAGCGAGCCTTGGCGAGCTAAATACATAGTGTTTATTCCTAATACAGGATATTTACCATCCCCAAACACACAAGCGTGATAACCTCTTTATCATATAATGTCATTCTTTAATTCTGTGCTTTAAAATCGCTTTCCCTCTCTCACAAACATTACCGAAACATTGGGAGTTTTCCTGGAATGCGCGCATTAATATTTATTACGTCACAGGGTAAGTGATGTGTCAGTCGGACAGTGACAGTAGCCAATATAGTTCCAACTGAATTCTGTTTCTTATACAGTGGCGAAGCAACATATACGCAAAACAACAATTGTTTTTAATTGCCTTTCGCGGCAATCCATCGGTCTGTCTGCTAGAGTAACTGCCCTTGGTCAAAGGGAAGCTACTCTAACCCTAGTCTATGAGATGTCACGGCTACGGTCAGACGTTGTTGACAGTCGGGCTGTCCTGTCATAATGTTAAGAAGTGTCGTCAGATGTACACACAGCGACAAAACGAAACAAGGTAACAATTCAAACATATTTCGGCAAAATCCAACTATTTAAATTTGTGGAGAAGGTTTTAAGCCGCAAAGGTCTACAAGCACAGATATGGCTACTGATCCCGCTTGGCTAGGCCTCGTGCCCTCGCAAAATTGTTTCGTAATTTATATCTCCAAAGTTGCCAAAACTTATAAAACGCCTTAGCTACGTCACAGTTAGACACTGATTTTCAGTATATTAGACTGCTCTTTTGATAATGATAGCAATTACCCCTGTACTTTATCCAGATTCCCGATGGTTAATTCTGACTCGATCGCCGAATGACGAGGGCGACGCCATGTTTGTTTATGAACAGTGAAAGTAGTTCTACTTGACCTTTGATATTTGCATCTCTATCCGCATATGACCCCAACGGATATCGTTTTTATCCGTTGGCTTTATCCTCCCGAGAAACCTACCCATTATATGATAAATCTCATTATTACTTGCCCGTGAAGAGATCACCCGTTTAATAAACATACAGCTTTATTACACATTGTGTAATACCAAAACGCATGCTTATGTACTCTCGGAACACGTTTCACGAACAAATATTGAAAGCTCTCAACATCCCTTGGCTTTTTCAACGACATTGCGTATGGAGTTGATAGATCACTGAGAGGAGCTTATGCACACTCGATGACCCCAGCAACCTTGTTGCTAGGCTGACGTCACATGGCATTGTTTCGCCGATGGACCTTGCAACAAAATTCCACAATTTACGTCATCGGGTATTGTGACGTGATTGTAAACTTTGAGGTGCAAGACCCGTTCCACAAGGCGATCGTATTGTAGCGCAACGACAGTCGTTAGTCTAAGTTAAAATATGTGAGTTGCGATTAGCCCTACGATAATTTTGTGGAACGGACGCCTGAATTCTAAAGGTGGACCGTTGTATGGTATTAAATTCATACGTTTCAACGTTTGACGTGTTTGAAGTATTATCCTGTTAAACTCAATTGGACTATGCCGTGGATCGTGTAGGTGTCAGCCTATTCATACTCAACAGTATAATTCTAAAAACGTTATCAATGGCAAGTAATAAATAAAATACTAAACTCGCTCCCGTGTAAAACCAATTTTATGAAACTCGTGAATAGTTGTGGTATCAACTTTGATACCACAACTATTCACTCGTTTCATAAAATTGGTATTACACGGGAGCGAGTTTAGTATTCTATATTTACGGGTCATGTCAGAACGACCTTTCGCAAATTTTGACCGACCAATGAAATGACTGACAAGTAATCGACATTTGCCAATCAGAAGACAGCTTTCTCAAGCTTTATGACACTAGTTTAAAACTGGCGACAACGCTTATACCATATTTTGACGTATTCTCGATTAAAAAGTTAAAACTGATACGAAGAACATTCTGGAATGGCTTATAGATGGCCTAGATTGTATGGATATAATCATAAAACCCGTTACTGTCGTTCGGAATACCCTGTGTTAAATATATCATGGTTGCATGATTAGAAAACACATTCCAACTGTCACTTTCATGATTTGGTAAGCGACGCTCTGAATGGTTGGATGAAAGGTCGTTCTGACGTGACTCGTAATGGGATGTCCTCAGATCTTTGTTTAGCGGTAGCGAAAACTAAGATCTGATTTTAATGAGATTGGTCCTTGGTTCGATTCCCATCACGGGACTCGGAAATTTTATGGCCGCTACAATTACATAACTGAAATCTCCAATCGGCAGTTACTGGGAAGGAAATCTACTCCTTTGGTCCAGCGGCTCATTGAAAATTATGTGTATGGCCACAAGTGAGCAAAACTCAGTTTCTGTCAAAAAAATTCTGAGCAGCATAGTTAAATAGATACAAACACAATTGAGTCTTTTTTATTGTCATAAACTCTTTATTTACCATGTCACATTTACTGTTTAATTTTTCAGTATTTCCTTGTATCCACCTTTTCCCCAAAATTAATGCTGTGTAGAGTGGGGTGTGCATTATACACACGGACAATGATTTCGATTCCCCAGTTTGTTACAAAGTGTGAAGCCCATTCCTGAAGTCCCCCACCATGATATGACTGGGATACTGACACAGGCAGTTTACATAATTTATGCAATTGCACTTAGGAAAATATTTTGAAACAGTTGTACATGATACTGAAAATAGTAGGATCTCTGTGAATATTTGTGTGTTGTGTGACAGGTCCCTCGGGCTCGGAGATCCCGTGCCGCCTCAGTAAGAAGGGCCATGTGTGTCGGGCGGAGTACACTCCCCTGGAGGTGGGGCAGCACATGATTGATGTGTACTTTGCCGGCACTCGACTCCAAGGCAGTCCCTTCGTCAGCCAGGCATACGACCCAAGTCTTGTGCGCATCACGGACGTAGATAAGACAGCCAAGAAGGAAAGGGAGATTGCATTCACAGGTGAGTCAGTTTTCTTTATTGATGCAATAAGGATTTATATTACTGGTCAAAATATTTCCAAATGTTGATGTTTGAACGGTTACCAGACAGGCGGGCAGGCAGGCAGGCAGGCAGGCAGGCAGGCAGGCAGGCAGGCAGGCAGGCGGGCAGGCAGGCAGGCAGTGTTGTTTCAGACACTGGCCATGGGTGGAATGAAAGCCAGGTGTTGGTTGTGTCCTGTGAACACTTAAACTACTATACTGCAGTCTGAGCCATAAACTGAGTCACTGAGCCGGAACACGTAGTTTGTTATTATCTTCAGTACATTTTAGTCTCAGTGTACGGACTAGTATAAAAGTCTGATTTCACTAGACCAAACCACATTTTGTTAGACTATAAGCAAGCAGCATAAAACTGATCCAACACAGTCACCACTCAGTTGATGATAAGAAAGAGGGAGTTCATACATTAAAGTTTAACAAAGCTGCTGACATGAAGGGTTTGGCACAGCACCGTTTCCAACAAATGCAAGATACATTTGCCAAGTCAGAGCTGTATCATCCATAAATAGAAAAAACAAAAAAGGGCCAAAATATGAATTTTAAAAGTCCAGGTTAGGCTAAAAAAATAATAGTCGTAGATCTCAGACACCGCCCGCATCATCTTGAAGTCCGCCACATGTTTCGTTTTTATTTACATTTTCTAAAAATAAAAATAATCTTTAAATATTCCATGTCTCGACCCTGGCAGTAAAATGCTACAATACTTAAGGACAACATAATTTCACCGAAATTATTGTAAACAATATTTGGTTTGGTCTTTGAAAGGCATTTAGAAGTGATACACATAAGGAAGAGAATATATGGATGTCAACTTCTTTATTATGAGGAACACAGCGTTTCGGAGTATATGCTTACTCCTCCATCAGCATATACTCCGAAACGTTGTGTTCCTCATAATAAAGTTGACACCCATATATTCTCTTCCTTAAAATATGGTTACATACTAGCTTGATCAACCAAAGAAACAAACAAACCACTGCCTGCACTATATTTTCAAAACCCATCTCCTGAGAACCAATTCTTTTATTTCTTTTAAGCCTTAGATATGAATATGATATTTTGACAGTAATCCAAATGTGTGGAAATATTGACAAGTGAATGCAACATTCACATTGTTTTTTCTGTCCTCTCATTCATCATCCCTTTCTGGTATGTGATGTTTGTAGTCGATGCGTCGGCAGCTGGGGTGGGAGACCTTGATGCTGTAGTGACCCACCATGGACGCAGCATCCACACCTACCGTGAGACCATCGGCGACGGCCGCTACAGATACACCTTCACGCCTACTGAAGTGGGGCACTATGATGTCAATGTCAAGTTTAATGATGAACAGATTCCGGGTGAGAGCAAGTTGTCTAAATCAGTCAGCCTCAATCCTGATTGCTGAATTAGAACCAATAGGCAATTTTGCAAATAATTCCAGTTCACTGATCTTCGAAAAATATTCTGAATATATTCTCTAATTTTCTTCTTTCCAGGTTGTCCTGTGGTTGTGAACGTGGAAGAACAAGTGCCGACCTTCATCACCATCAACTTCCGCGGCGTAGAGGCGCTCAACGTGCGTGACCGCAATCACTTCATCCTCCACATGGACGGACACCATGTTGACTCCGATGCATTGCAGACACGCATCAAAGGTTGCCATGGAAATAAAATGATTGGCATGGCAATGGCATGATGGAAGACTGATGGGAAAAAATATGTGTTACAGCTTGATATGATTTCTGCCATAGATGAAATTTGCATGCAAGGGACATGGTGCTTTGTACATTTAGATACGTGTCTGATTGTTATGGCTCCTCGCCGGAGACGACGCCCTACTTTGTTGAAATGCATGCCAGTATTTGTATGTATTCTGTGATTGGTATCAATACTTCAACTTGAAGCCTTTCTTTTCAGATCTTAGCTGTATTATTTAATCTTCAGAAGTATATATACCAATGGCTTGTTGGCACTGTGGTATTGGTGGTTGTGTATGTCTGATATTGACAATGAAATTGATTGCAATGTACATATCCTGCTGTGAAATCTACATGTTATTTGTCTGGGGCTTGGCAGTACCTGGAGTGTGATCGAGCGGTAGATGGTTGCCTGTTGACCGCTGGTCAGTCACAAAACCAGTAGCATCCTAGAAATGCTTTTCTTTTGCTTTCATTTCGCATTATTATCTTGAAATATCCAAGTCTTTAGATAATGTAGTTTATGGATCGTTTTTCTCTAAATAGTATTTTAGGTATACTTTTGGTGTAATTTCAAGTAATTGCTATTAATCAGTGTGTTTTATCGTTAATAACAATCTTAACTGTCAGTCTAGCTATTCTTGTCTATTTCGCCTTATGCTGTCCGCCTGCAAAGTTTATCCCTGATGTCGCATCAGATTTCCCCATTTGTCATCCCGCTTCTAATCCATCAGTCTCATCGTCCCATGTGTTGTCAAACAGAGGTGACACGTGAATGAACTGGCTATCTACGCTTTGTGTTTAGCTCCGAGTGGAGAACTGGTTCCTGCAAATCTTGTGCGCCAGTCTGATGGGGACTACAAAGTTGAATGGACCCCAAATATGGCAGGTGAGCTAAAACTTCGGTTTCGTTTGTTTGTTGTTTAGCGCCTCACTCAACAATATTCAAGCTATATGACAACGGTCTGTAAATGATCGAGTCTGGACCAGACAATCCAGTGATTGAGATCATGAGCATCGATCCACACAATTGGGATACGATGACATGCATCAACCAAGGCAGCGAGCCTGACCACCCGATCCCGTTAGTAGCCTCTTGCGACAAGAATAGTCATCTATTCCGGATTATCACTGGCTGCTAATTTTAAAACTTTGTGCTAGCGGGGATTAAGTTATACATATAGACAAAACAGTCCTCGTTGGCTTTGGTTGAAAATGTAAACCCTTGAGTGAACGCAAAGCTCTTGAGAGCCAAAGCCCTGAAGAGTTTTCTCAAGTTTACAAGGCCAGGCTTTTTTTATTTTTAGGATTATGGATTTTTCAGCCCAAAGTCCAGGGTTGGAGGAGGGAAAAAAAACCCAGCCAGATGCATTTTTTTTATAATGAAGAATGCCTCTGGCATATTTTATGAACATATTCTGGCTCAAAAGACCGCCATTTGTCACGATAAAGCCCCCTGTAACAATAATAATTCTACCACTTACAACACAGACAATTGTCAAGGGTAAATTCATATGTTTTTTACTAAAAGGTGATGATAACAAATAGAATAAGTGAGTATTGGCAGGGGGAAATAAACAGAAATCTGACTTTATTTTTTTTTATTTTCTAAAAAATTAGAGTCGGCGGGTCCATAATCCGAAAAATATAAAATTTGTGCTGTTTTCCTTCAGAGGTATTGATACCATGTTAAATTTGCAGGCAGACATTCTGTTGACGTGCTGTTTGCCGGCCAGCAGATTCAGGGGAGTCCGTTCTTCATTAACGTGTTTGACATCAACAAGATCAGGGTGGACAACTTCTACAATGGTGGTTTGGAGGAGACGGCTGGGTTCAATGGTGAGTGGACAGATGGGACCATCCGGGGTGCAGCCTCATCTCTCTCACAGTGATACCTGCTGGCTCACCTGATGGGTTACTGATTATTCTGATAACCCCTGATTTGTCAGCACAGACTGAGCCTTGGTTGCCTAGGTATAGCCTCGATTGTGGTGCACACCAGACCGAAGTGGTGTTGCCTAGCTGTTGTATTGCTGACTGTGCAAAACATTATTTATCACTACTCACCTTGGATACTGGGTTTATGTGTTTATTCAGACATGTGTCTCTCAAGTTCCTGATGTTTTAGGATAATTCTAATATCTCAATCTGTGATGTTTTGTTTCAATGTTATGGGAGAAGTTCTTTTATAATGATGAAACTATGTGTTCAATTGAAAATATTGTCTATGTGTAAAAGTCGAAATTGATTTAGAAGAAACTTGGTAGTTTCCTGGACAAACGACAGAAGGTAACTTAGATCAAGTTTACACTTGTTTTCATTGCCTGTTTCTGCTCCTCCACAGTTGACTGCAGTCAGGCTGGGAAGGCCGACCAGAGCATCTGGGTGGTCAGTCCGTCCGGCCGCAATGTTCCCGTGGACATCCAGGAGAACAGGCCAGCGGAGTATGCGGTCAGCTACGTCCCACACGAGGTTGGGCGACACAAGGTGCACTTGACGTATGGCGCCATGGAACATCCAGGTCAGTGCTACTCTCACTCCACATGGAGATATAGTGAACAGCGGGGGTTGTGACATCTGCAGATGATGTTTGACTTGGCCACCCTCCTGGCTAGGGATCGGACGGATGTACATTGACTTGAGTACGTGAGGCTCACAACCAGACACGCACTTGAGTGCCATTTTGTCTCTTTTCTTAGCGACCGCCTCTGTGGTCTAGTGGTAGAGCGTCCGCCCGGGGAGCGGAAGGTCCGGGGTTCGATCCCAGGCCGCGTCATACCAAAAGATGTTAAAAGATGGTACTTGTTGTTACCCTGTCTGGCGCTCGGCATTAAGGGCCTAAATCAAGGATGGGTCGGCTCGGAGTCAGTATACTGTGTCTGAGTGGGGTATTCATGCTAAACTGCGGCATGGTATCTCAGTGGGCAAGCACTATAAATTGGCATCAGTCCAGACTAGTACAAGCAGCCACACACACACACACACACACACACACACACACACACACACACATGCATTCACGTCGCTATATAAGTGCAATAATCTTGGACGCCACGTTAAACCCCATTTCACCTCACCTCAACTCTCTTCTTAGCACCATCTTGTCTTCCATGTCGGCAACATGCATGTTAGAGAAGTGGAGATGTGAGTTAACTCCCTTGGTTAGGACTCAGGTCTGCCTGAGTCCACCTAGTGCTTGGGTATTCAATGACTGGTCAGTGCCCTATAATACAGACAGGTCGACCCAATTGCTCACGTGGATCTCAGCACTGTACTCTGAACTGAGATTGTCCATATAGTGGTCAAATAACAAAGATACCCTCCTCTGCAGCCTGGCGTTGATGGGGTAACAGCCTCTCTAGCAGGTGCGGAGTCTTTAACACTTGGGATAGTACCGTGTCAGCTTACTGTAAGTTGGGAGGATCATGTTCTTAATCAAGAACCTGATTGCAAGGGTCCTCTTCGAAAATTGTTTCCTCTTGCAAATCTGAACCCTTCCAGTGTCTCGGGGCGGTTGGGTAGCCTCGTGGTTTAAGTGTTCGCTTGTCACGCCGAAGGCCCGGGTTCAATTCCCAACTTGGGTACGATGTGTGAAGCCCAATTCTGGTGCCCCCTGCCGTGATATTGCTGGAATATTGCTAAAAGCGGCGTAAAACCATACTTACTCCAGTGTCTCAGTGTTTGCTGACGAGAGTGCTGATGTGGAAGAACTTTGTGTTCCATATAATTCCAAGGTTCTGACTTGACCTGAATCAAGGTCATTTGATTGTCATTCATTGTCCATGCTTACTTTGTATGGCATCATGTTGAAGTGAAGGACAAATGCCACTTAAAGGTGCAGGATGGTTTCCAGTTGTTTTTAAAGTTGTTTATATTTGGTTTGGGAAAACAAACAGCATATTCATAAGATTGCCATGTTTGAACAAGAAACTAAATATGTTGTATGTACAAAACAAGAAAGTGTGTATAAGAAGAGCTGATTGCAGTTTCCTGTGTTTGATACTCATATAAACATGAAACCTCAACCCTAACATATTATTTCTTAAATAAAGAATTGTGAGTACAACCAGTGAAAGTACAATGCATGACTTTCCTTCCAAGGGTGTTTCTGCTTAAGAATGTTTTCTGCAAACATGTTCACTACTGTCTCTATGGTAGACATATGTTCCTGCAGAGGGAACAGATCAACAAGTGAAGTGTTTATAGTCATTTACCTCATTGGGGCATGCTTGGCCCAGTTATCAAAGTCACCAACATTCCCTGTGCAGAGTTGTGTCCTTAAGTCATGCCAGGATCCGATGATTGTGGCTTGAATCCTGCATGAATCTGTTTGTCAGAACAATACCTGTGCCCATAGTGGCTGGTGTGTAGGGCTTGCAACTCTTTAGGTTTTCCTTTAACATTGACACGCTGTGATACAACTAAAGTACTGTTCAATGTTGGATGAGTCCCAATGTATGTCCCGGGTACTTGACCAGGTCTCAAGAGTTGGGAACATAATGTCTGCTGGAATTGTAATACTGTTCAATGTTGGATGAGTTCCAATGTATGTCCCGGGTACTTGACCAGGTCTCAAGAGTTGGGTACATAATGTCTGCTGGAATTGTAATACTGTTCAATGTTGGATGAGTCCCAATGTATGTCCCGGGTACTTGACCAGGTCTCAAGAGTTGGGTACATAATGTCTGCTGGAATTGTAATACTGTTCAATGTTGGATGAGTCCCAATGTATGTCCCGGGTACTTGACCAGGTCTCAAGAGTTGGGAACATAATGTCTGCTGGAATTGTAATACTGTTCAATGTTGGATGAGTCCCAATGTATGTCCCGGGTACTTGACCAGGTCTCAAGAGTTGGGAACATAATGTCTGCTGGAATTGTAATACTGTTCAATGTTGGATGAGTCCCAATGTGTGTCCCGGGTACTTGACCAGGTCTCAAGAGTTGGGAACATAATGTCTGCTGGAATTGTAATACTGTTCAATGTTGGATGAGTCCCAATGTGTGTCCCGGTTACTTGACCAGGTCTCAAGAGTTGGGAACATAATGTCTGCTGGAATTGTTTTCCCGGAGCGCTGGCAAATATTATTTAGATACACTGAAGTTGGCTGAAGTTTTATCTTTACTCGAGAGTATAAATGTTGGAAACAATGTGTGCATAAGTCAGAAAAACATGTAAACAAATGTGACTTTTATTGTTATTGTATTTAAACAATGTATCACGTGACTAACCACGGTCCTGGTAGTCCTGTTGAATCAAGCAATATGCCCACACTTTGTATAATTTCATGCAGTGTTATTGCTGTGGTCGTGGGCTAGAGTCCCAGCTTTGTCTCATGTTTTACCAAAGTGGTATTAATCTGAGACCTTCCCATCGTCCCATCTAACTCACTATAAAAGTCCAGTTTCCACCCTTGCTGAACTAGACTTGAATTATGGAGTTATATTTTGGCTGGACTGACGAGTCCATGAATAGTCCAATCAAAATTCCGATATCGACATCTGCCATGCCGAATTTGTTCAGTCGTAGGATTTGCAGAGCATGTGTACGGACAAACGGACATTGACAGATGTTTTCCAAATCTTGACATGTTTTTTATAGGTGCTCATGTGATGTGATGCACTTCATGAGATAAAAACCCTTTTTATCAAAATAAAGATCTTAAATACTGATGAGATGGCCTTGAATAGCCGCTGCCATTTTGTTTGAATGAGATTATGATGAGAGGTAGAATCTGATTGGTCAGTAGGGGGGACATAGAAGGGACATAACTCATAATAAGTGGTGCTATGATCAAGCCCAGAAATTCCAGCCTAGTTCAGCAAGGGTGGGAACAGGACTTTTAAAGACAGTTAACTCCCTTGTCTCGGGAAGATGAGACCTGCATCACTTCAGGCTATTCAATCAAAATCACGTTAAAATGCCCTGATGGAACTGAAATCATTTTGGTGACTATGTTAATGACTTGTTAATGTACCTTGACAGCGTAGGTCATTGCCCACACTATCAATCACTTATTGTCTGGTCTGGACTTGGTTATTTACAGACCGCCATCATACAGCTTGAATATTGCTGAGTGCGGTGTTAAACAACAAACCCACACACCAATTTACATGCACTCACTGTTTTTTGTGGAAAGCAGTCCAATCATTATTGACACATGTCTTATTTTCTTTCCATACATTTGATAAGAGTCCTCAGATACTTGTATTTTCAACATTAGTGTCAAGGGAGGGAGTTCTTATGCAAGGATCAAAAGTTTGATCTGATACTGCGGCTGTATTCTGTGCCATCTCTATTCAAGGTGTATTTATGAAGCAAATGGAGATTTGTTTGATGTTTGGGTTCATGGCTAGTTATGAGTGTTTGTTTAGTTTATTATCTGTCCCAAAGCTATCAATAATCCATCACAGCTTTAATATATTGTCTTGTATTGATGGTATAATTTGTTTTCAGTGTATGGTCATCAGGCCATGGACACTATGAATGAACTGATAGTTCTGTCAATTGTTACACCAATTGATATCAGACATTATTGCTCCTTTGTCAGCTGATATGTGGACTGTGCTGTTTATACCAGGAAAGCGATTTTAATGAAACAGTGTACACAATCATTAACCTCCAGCTGTATTTAAGGCCAATATGACAAGATTATTTCTTTTTCCATGGTTAACTTGTACAACTTTTTGTAAAAACCTTCACATTCATGCTTTTTATTCTGACCTCTGTACATGTTGTTTTCCAAAGCCCTTAAGTCAAACATACAAAGATGTCATCAGAATGGGTTTTTTTGCTGCCCGATTCTTAATGCAGTTTGTGCGTCTCAAGTCAAATCTAAACTTTGGTAGAGGCATTATTTGCGACAGAATGTAACGTTGTTTAAACTGAATTTCCAGCTGAGCCCAGCATAAGCATCAGTGTAAAGGGCAGATGTCGGCAGTGATGTACTTTACCGTCAACCAGGTCTCCCAAAGAAATCTCCTGTTTAAAAGTAGATTCCATAAGAATGAAAATAATTTGCCCCTTTAATGACTTCTCAGCGGTCATCCAAAAGAGTCTTTTGAACATGTTGTTCTCAAACTGAAAGAATAGAATTTGTCCTGTTTCATACAAACCTTTGTGGTCTTTGAAAAGTTGAGATGAATCACATTTGTGAAATCTGGCCTGCAACAAAAAGAGCAAATTTTGAACTTTACTGTCATTGAAACATTCCTGGGTAAAACACTGGGTTAGATGTTTTAGTCTGAGAGTAGGTTGAGACATTCTTAATTAGCCGTCGTAGTATGAGTCACTTTGTCGGGCTGGCAGTGTTTGCTATTGGGGAGTGTGGAAGGATTTACACCTTAAAATAAACATTGGGCACATTCATGTTTACTAGGGAGGGATGGGTTGATTGGCCTTAAACATGTCTTTCTTCATAATAACTCATTTAATTCAAGGCGACAATTAGCATATCTTGGTGCCTTGAGTGAATATTTGCAACTGTTCTCTGAGAATTTGAAGCTGAAATTTTTGTATGCT